CTTGTGAAATCCACATTGATACCATTGGGCTGCAGGGTTCCCAAGCGGAATATGAGTTGCTGTTCCTGCAACCTTCGGGTGGCATCGTTGTGGCACTGCAGGAGGCCCAGGATGGACATGTCGTCTGAGGAATGGGAGGGGGAGTTGAAATGGTTCGCGACTGGGAGGTGCAGTTGTTTATTGCGAACCGAGCGTAGGTGTTCTGCAAAGCGGTCCCCGAGCCTCCGCTTGGTTTCCCCAATGTAGAGGAGGCCACAACGGGTACAGCGGATGCAGTATACCACATTGGCAGATGTGCAGGTGAACATCTGCTTGATGTGGAAAGTCTTCTTGGGGCCTGGGATGGGGGTGAGGGAGGAGGTATGGGGGCAGGTGTAGCACTTCCTGCGGTTGCAGGGAAAAGTGCCGGGTGTGGTGGGGCTGGAGGGGAGTGTGGAGCGGACAAGGGAGTCATGGAGAGAGTGGTCCCTCCAGAAAACAGATAAGGGTGGGGAGGGAAAGATGTCTTTGGTGGTGGGGTCGGATTGCAGATGGCGGAAGTGTCGGAGGATGATGCGTTGGATCCAGAGGTTGGTGGGGTGGTACGTGAGGACGAGAGGGATTCTTTTTTGGTTCTTATTGCGTGGACGGGGTGTGAGGGATGAGTTGCGGGAAATGTGGGAGACACAGTTGAGGGCGTTCTCAACCACTGAGTGGGGGAAGTTACGGTCCTTGAAAAACGAGGACAACCGAGATGTACGGGAGTGGAATGCCTCATCCTGGGAGCAGATGCGGCGGAGGCGAAGGAATTGGGAATAGGGGATAGCATTTTTGCAGGAAGGTGGGTGGGAGGAGGAGTATTCTAGGTAGCTGTGGGAGTCGGTGGGCTTGAAATGAATATCGGTTTCGAGGTGGTTGCCCGATATGGAGACAGAGAGGTCCAGGAAGGGGAGAGAGGTGTTAGAGATGGTCCAGGTAAATTTAAGGTTGGGGTGGAAGGTGTTAGTGAAGTGTATGAACTGTTCGAGCTCCTCGTGGGAGCACGAGGCGGCACCGATACAGTCATCAATGTAACGGAGGAAGAGGTGGGGTTTAGGGCCGGTGTAGGTACGGAAGAGGGATTGTTCCACGTAACCTACAAAGAGGCAGGCGTAGCTTGGGCCCATGCGGGTACCCATGGCTACCCCCTTTGTCTGTAGGAAGTGGGAGGAATTGAAAGAGAAGTTGTTGAGTGTGAGGACGAGTTCGGCTAAGCGGATGAGGGTGTCAGTGGAGGGGGACTGGTCGGGCCTGCGGGACAAGAAGAAGCGGAGGGCCTTAAGGCCATCTGCATGGGGAATGCAGGTGTAGAGGGACTGGACGTCCATGGTAAAGATGAGGTGTTGGGGACCAGGGAATTGGAAGTTCTGGAGGAGGTGGAGGGCGTGGGTGGTGTCACGGACATAGGTAGGGAGTTCCTGGACCAAGGGGGAGAAAATGGAGTCGAGATAGTTGGAGATCAGTTCGGTGGGGCAGGAGCAGGCGGAGACAATGGGTCGACCAGGGCATTCAGGTTTGTGGATTTTGGGAAGGAGATAGAAGCGGGCAGTGCGAGGTTGGGGAACGATGAGGTTGGAGGCCGTGGGTGGGAGGTCACCTGAGGTGATGAGGTTGTGGATGGTTTGCGAGATGATGGTTTGGTGCTCAGGGGTGGGGTCATGATCAAGGGGGCGGTAGGAGGAGGTGTCGGAGAGTTGGCGTCCGGCCTCGGCGATGTAGAGGTCAGTGCGCCATACTACAACTGCACCTCCCTTGTCCGCGGGTTTTATGGTGAGGTTGGGATTGGAGCGGAGGGAGCGGAGGGCTGCACGTTCTGCGGGGGAGAGGTTGGAGTGGGTGAGAGGGGTGGAGAGGTTGAGGCGATTGATGTCTCGACGGCAGTTGGAGATGAAGAGGTCGAGGGAGGGTAGGAGGCCTTGGGGTGGTGTCCAGGAGGAGGGGGTGTGTTGGAAGCGGGAGAAGGGGTCAGTAGAGGGAGGGTTAGGTTCACGGTTGAAGAAGTAAGCGTGGAGGCGGAGGCGGCGGAAAAACTGCTCTATGTCCAAGCGTGAGCGGTATTCGTTGATCTGTGGGTGGAGGGGGACAAAGGTGAGCCCTTTACTGAGGACTGACCGTTCGTCCTCAGTAAGGGGTAGCTCTGGGGGGATGGTGAAGACTCGGCAGGGCTGGGTGCTGCTGGCTCCTCTGGAGCTGCTGGCTGTGGAGGTGGTGGGCGGAGCTACGTCGGCGTCGGCTGTGGGCGGAGCTGTGTCGGCGTCGGCTGTGGGCGGAGCTGCGTCGGCGTCGGCTGTGGGCGGAGCGTCGTCGGCGGTGGGCGGAGTTGTGCCGGTGTCGGCGGTGGGCCAAATTCTTTTGACTGTCTTTTGGTTGTTATGCCAAATACACCACTGATGACTTGGAGGGAAACCACAGCATCAGTTTCACTACAAAACTCAAAATGTAAAACAATAACCAAACAGGTGTGCAGCATATAATAAAAATGCATGTTTATTTACAAATGTGTGTGCAACTTGCTACTTAGGGGCATGATGAAACTTTCCAAATGTCTTCCTCTTTTTGTCTTTCAGTACTCGTGCTATATAGGCATCTTGCTGCTTCTGTATTTCAAAGTCAGTAACCTGTTGCCTGTATAGAACACAAAATTAGTTTCTTTAAAACATTAAGAATATTTTGATCGAAACACATCAAAGCCCTCGTAGAGAGAAGTTTACAGACTTACCTCAAAGTATCTTTCTGCTTTTCAAGAAGGTGACTAAGTTTTTTAATCTGACCCTCTTTGACACTCAAAATATCATCTTGTTTTTCCATCAGATTCTCAATCTCTGCAAAGAAAACAATTAGTTTTCAGAAATAATTAGTTTCTATCTAAATCTATTTTTCTAGATCTGTTGAATTATTCTTTTAGAAAATCGACCAGGCATATTCCAGGAAATATAAAACCAGTCCTTTCAAATAAACTGCAAATTTTAATCATTAGACAATGTAATTAAATATTCTTCTTTTTGTATCAATTTTGTATCTGTAATTTTTGGCGTATGTTCATTCTTGGATAAGTACCATTTTTGGGACCTACAGTTCTTTGCCGTAGGTGTGTCAACACAGACTGCCTGAAAAGGGGCAGAACAACAGGTTAAAAGAGGGCTGCAAAAGACAAGTTTCAGAAGTTACATAACTTACAATCAGAGATTGGGAACTTCTGAATTACTGCTGAGGAACAGCAAGACAATCATCCCATGACCAACAGCTAGAAGCATTGGTGAAAGGTTCTCAGAGATGGAGCTACAACATATGTTTCTTATCTTGCTTTACTTTACAATACCCATGCAATGGGTGGAATTGCAGACCATAATGACTGGGGTCACAAGGTTTAGGTACATATGACCCAGAACAGATATAGTGACCTTTTGTTTCATTGCTCCCAGAGCAGATGTACATAGACACGTGTACATTGACAGGGACAGAGAGTGAACCTAAGTGTAGGATAGGGTGGAAAGGACAAGAAAATCATCAATGTTAACACATTCATTCTGTTTAAAACTTAATGGGCTTTCAGGAAATAAATTATATACTCAAAGGTAAAAATGAATCAACTATGGCTAACAACTCAAAGATTTCATTAAATCAAAGGAGTGGCTTATAAAAGCAGCAGAAACAGTGGTAAACCTGATAATTGGGAGTAATTTAGGAGTAAGTAAAGAATGACCAAGAAACTGAGAGAGAAAAGAAAATATGAATGTAAGTTAGCAAGCAACATTAATCTATACAATAAAAGCTTCTAGTAATATGTGAAGGAAAACAATTAGCAAGGGTAAATATGGGCCCATTACAGGGGGAGTAAGGAATATTTATAGTGAAAAACAGGGTAAAGACGGAGGAACTAAGTTTGAAACTTTTGTTGGTCTTCATGGAGGAAGATACAGAAAATATCCCAGAAATATTAGGCAACTAAGTGCCTTGTGAAACTAAAGGGCTAAAGGAAATGAATATAGTAAATATGCACTTGAAATCACTGGTGATTGTCTTTTGTATTCTATAAATTCTGGAAAGACTCCTGCTGGCTGAAAATTGGAAATGTAATCTCATTATTTAAGAGAAGCGAATGTGGATAACTACAGACCTATTAGTTTGACATCAATAATTGGGAAACTGTTAGAATATTTTATAAAGGATGTGATAACTAAAATTTTAGAATAGAACTACAAAATTGGGCAAAAAGACAATATGGATTTTGTTATGCTCCCAGCAAATGGCAGTACTGGTCTAATCTCAGTATGGAACCTAGTTTATTTAGTTAACATGGTGGTTAGTCACAGAAACATATTCAAACAAGGCTGCACATTTTGTCTAACAACAGAAATTTATTACACAAAAGAAGAAACAAACCAAGCTATCTAAATATAGAAGACAGTACAAAAGGTCTCAAATCACACAGCAAACAAAATTGAATGTGTCTTTCCCCACACTATCCATTATAAATGCTCAGTCCAGAGAAAACATACAACTGTTTCAACTCTTTAAGTTTCTCATAGATTTTATTTTGCTATGAGCAATGAAGACAATTCAATGAGTCCTTTCCAAATCTGCCAATATGAACATTTCAAAATCTAAAAGCCTAAAATTTCTCAGTTCTAATAACCTAAATTTTCTAACCAAACTCTCCTGGCTTGGAATCTTTACAAACTAAATACTTCTGCAGAGGTGACTGGTTCCCTGATCTTCTAGGAGAGAAACTAAACTTGCTTCTAAACTCAACTCTGAAGTAAATTAAAACTCTTTCCATCTTAGATTCTTCTGAACTGAAAATAAAGCCAATGGCCTTAAATGTTTAAACATGTGGCACAAACATCTTTCAATTAACACTACAAGGGTCTACAGTCACCTGCTTTTTGACAAATGCTGGATTTAGGCCACTATTTAGAAGGTCTTTCCTGTCTTGCTTTTTAGAGAAGTAACCAACATTACTTGGGTAGGCAATGGTCTAGTGGTATAATCGCTAAACCATTAACAAAAGGCCCAGGTAATGTTCTGGGGAAGTGGGTTTGAATCCTGCCATGGCAGATGATGGAATCTGAATTCAATAATAATCAGGAAATAAGAGTTTAACGATGGCCATGAAGGAAAAACCCATCTGTTTCACTAATGTCTTTTAGGGAAGGAAATCTGTCACTTTACCTGGTCTGACCTACATGTGGCTCCAGACCCACAGCAATGTGGTTGACTCTTAACTGCCCTCTCCACAATTAGGGATGGACAATAAATGCTGGTCCAGCCAGTGACACCCCATCCCATGAATGAATTTAAAAAATTATCTGCTTCTATTTTGAAATCCAAATTCTAAAAACGTTGATAAATTATATACCTTTTGTCACAACTTATAAAGGGAAATCATGCTTGACAAAGTTGTTGGAGTTTATAAACACTTCACTTGTAACATAGTCAAAGGATATTCTGTGAATGTAGAATCCATGTAAAAAGTTAGTAAATAAAATTATAGAGCGCACGGAATTGTGGATAAGATACTAGTGTGGACTGAGAACTAGTTAATAGATGGAAAGCAGAGTAAGAATAAACAGATCAATCTCTGGATGACAGGCTATTAATAGTAGGGTGCCTCAGTCAGTGCTAGGTCCACAATTGTTCACAGTCTGTATAAATGATATGTATCTCGGGACCAATTATGCAGGTTTCCAAAGGGATCAGGGTGTTTTCATGTAAAAGTCACTTCAAAGCTAGTATGCACGTGCAGCAAGAATTTAGGATAGCATAGGATATTGGCATTCATTTCAAGGGGATTTGAGTACACAAGCTATCTTGCTGCAGTTGTACAGAGCCTTGGTGAGACCTCACTTGGAGTAATGTGGATAGTTTACATTCCCTTATCTAAGACAAGATATACTTGCCATAAAGCAAGTACAATGGAAGTTCAGGAAATTGATTCCTCAGATCACAGGATTGTTCATGTGCAAAGATTGAACAAACTGGGTCTGCATTCTCTAAAGTTTCAAAGGCTGAGAAGTGGATCGCACTGAAAATTAGAGGACTCTCACAGACTTCTCCGCATCAGCTGGGAGGACAGGTGTACTAACAATTAACATCCTTGAAGCAGCCAATAGCACCACTATTGAGGCCATGATCATTCAAAACCAACTCCACTGCGCCAGCCACAAGCTTAGGATGTCTGTGTTCCAACTGCCAAAGTAAATCATCTATAACCAGCTCAAGGAAGACATTTAAATGACAGGAGGACAAAGGAAGCTTTTCAAAACCCCCGAAGGCTTCCTTCATGAAATGCAACATAGAAGTGAACTCGTGGGAGACCCTCATTCAAAGGAAATCGACATGGAGGAAACTTCTGTGTGAAGGAACACAATTCTTTGAGAACACCAGTTGGCAAAGGGGCCAGAGAAAGGAATGTCAGTGATCTCAAGGCCAAGGACCAATTCCATCCCCCGGAAATACATTCTAAATGTCTGGTTGGAGATGCAATTCAAGGATCAGGCTCATCAGCGATGTAAAGACCCACAGAATCTATAACTAGTGACACAGAATTTCTTAGGTGGACAAACATACCCATTAGTGAGTAATCCAACGACAAAAGATGGAATGTTCAACGTGGCTGGTGACTCTAAAACCAAGTATCATATCTCAGGATAAGGTGCAAGCCATTTAAAACTGAGGTGAGGAGGAATGTTTTCACTCAGAGTATGGTGGAACTTTGGAATTCTCTATCCGAGAGGCTGTGGAAGCTCAACCATTGAGCAGATTCAAAATGTAAATCAAAAGGTTTCTGGAGGCTAATGGTATCAAGGGAAAAGGAAGTAGCAGAATTGGCAGTGATGTCATGATCAGCTGTGATCAAGAAAGAAGGGTTGGTCTCAATGGGCTAAAAGGCTGATTCCTGTTCCTTGTAACAAATTCCATATCACATATGCACATGTTTAGAATATTTAGAATGGCACCATCACTTACCATTGCATTTGCTTATCAACTTGTCATTTTTTGTTGACTCTTTCAATGCTTTGTTTTTAATGCTTTCCAATCTTTGCGAAGAATAAAAATAGAGATATGTTTGAATTATAAAACAGAATAAAAATGTTTAAATAAGGTTTAAATTATAATAGTTCATATCACAGTATTAGCTAACTGTAAACAAAGATTTTAACATCGACTCCCCCCATCCAATAGATGGCCATAAAATCTAAAGTGAACTATATGGTGGACTTGGGATGATATATTTTCCTATAAGCCTCAAGAATTACAGACAAACACTAATTTTTAACAAAACTCACCTTTGTTAATCCTGTAATCAGGTCACATAGTGCTTTACATGCATCTATTGATCTAGCAGCACACAGATATCCCACCTACAATTCTAGCTAGCAAACCTTGGCATCAGACTTAGCAAGGACTTCAACAGAATGCAAGGATGGTCCCATAGCTAAGTGCAGGGCTCCAATAAGATTGAGTTACAACATCCATTCATATTCATAAATTCCACTGTCAGGCTCTGTAGCATATAGTGGAACTGTCAACAATATAAGTCAAAGAATCTGCATTTTTCTGTTTTGGAGAATGTGTTTAAAACTGTTTGATCTGGCTATGTATTATCTTTAGTGCTCAATGTGATTGTCTGGGGGCCTTTTCATGGCTTGTACTATGATTACCTGTTTGGCAGATGTAAACACAAGCTATACAGATCAGCTGTGAACTGATGAACTATCAGTGGATTAACTGTAGTTCCTCTTCAGGATCAATGAATGTGAGTAAAATTGCAGAGAAATTATTAGGTGGAAGAAATTTAGAGCTACAATGTATCAGTACACGTCAGGAACTTGTCAATATCCACCAATTTCTATTTACAGAAGAAGGTCTCCTTCATTATAATAACTGGGGTTTCACTGCACAGTTGATTAATGCTCAATAATTTGCCTTGCGGAAACAAAACGAGTCTACAACTTAATTTGAATTTAAAGAGGGAATCTCATATTTGTATAGCATCTGTCAGGACTTCAGAACTCTCCAAAGCACTTTGCAGCCAAAAAACCTTTGAAGTGGTTTGGAGATTCCTGAAGTCCTGATTGGTGTAATGTAGAAAATATAGCAAAGAATTTTCAAAGAATAGTAAGATCCCACAAATAGCAATGTGATAATAACTAGATAAAGAGTTTTGGTGACATTGATTGACCAATACAATCATAGAATCATAAAATCATACTGAACAGAAGAGGTCCTTTAGCCAATCAAGTCTGGACCACCAAAAATATACGACTACCTAAACTAGTCTCACTGTCCCACATTAGGCTCATAGCTTTGAATGTTATGACACTTCAAGCACTCATTCAAGCACTTTTTAAAGGTTGTGTCTGCCTCAACTACCCTCCCAAGCAGTGCAATACAGAGCCCCGTCTCCCCTGCAACTGTCTGGGTGAAAAAGATTTTTCTCAAACTCCCTCTAAACCTCCTGCCTTTCACTTTAAAATTATGCCCCCTTGTTATTGGTGCTTACGGACCAAGACAATGGAAAATATTCAAAATAGTGCCGTGGAATTTTTTTCTTTACTCCTGGGTTATGTATGCCATTGGCTAGGCCAGCATTTACTGCCCATACGTATCCGGCCTGCAGAAAGCAGTGGTGAGCTATCTTTTTGAATCTTTTTTTCTGTTGAAGGCTCTGGAGTGGGGCTTGAACCCACATCCACTGATTCAGAGGTAAATTTACTCCTGTCAACCTTAATTTAAAAACTGGATGCAAGTCGTTATGAGGTAAATTTAAATATATTTTATATGTCTGTCAAAGGTCATTGGTTAGATTTTCTTTCACTCCAGCACCTGTTTTGAAGATCTATCAGATGGGAGAAAAGGATGAAAATCAGCCAAGAATGCATGTGGTACGCTCCCTGCCAACTCAGCCATATTAGGTGGGTGTGCAAATAAAAATGGGAACAGTATTGCACTTTGAATCAGTTATAGAGTCATAATGATCCAGAAGTTTAATTAATAAAAACACTGATGTCTTCTTCAGCAATTAGACATGATGCAAGTGCTGCAGCAGGGCTTTCCACCACTTATCCTGTTAAGGCCAACTAGTACAGTCAGAACTTTGCCTCGTCCTCGACCCAGAAACATTTCAATTCAGTAAAACCACTTGGGCAGTAGTACGTAAAGACACTTCCCCATGCTAACTGCATTTTAGAAGGAATTATGACTAGGAAAGAAAATTTAATGCCCTCTTTCAATCTTTTTTAAGTTTTAACTCACATAGTACTCAAGACTGTTGTTAACCTAAAGATGACAAACATATCTAAAAATAATTTTCATTATTCCTACTGTACTACTTCACAGATCACACATCACAGCAGTTTAATACATTTCCTGTAGTTCTTCAACTCCCTCAACTGTTAAGTTTTTGCAATTCCATCCACAACATTTTAAATTATGTTTTAATTGTAGTTTATTTTCTTCTTTCTTAGTCTAATCCTGAGTTTCTAAGGCAAAGCATTCACGCATGTGAATGTGGTATGGATAGAGTGGACAGCTAGAGACTTTTTCCTAGGGTGGAGGTAGCTATTACGAGGGGGCATAGTTTTAAAGTGAGTGGAGGTAGATATAGGGGAGATGTCAGAGGTAGGTTCTTTACTCAAAGAGTGGTAGGGGCGTGGAATGCATTGCCGGAGAGGGTAGTGGAGTCGGCCTCATTAGGGGCATTTAAGCTCCTATTAGATAGGCGTATGGATGATATTATAAGGTAGGGGTGGAGGTTAGATAGACCTTAGGTATAGGGTACAAGTTCGGCACAACATCGTGGGCTGAAGGGCCTGTACTGTGCTGTACTGTTCTATGTTCTATGCAGATAGCAATCTCAATAATCCAATTTATAGCATCCTATGACAATCAAAATTTCAACAGAGCAAGATACGTTAATGAGGCAGCACTATAGTTTACAAAATTAAAACTAAGAGTGCTAGCAGCACACAAAAATAACATCATGCAAAAGACTTGTGCATGAAGGTCATATATAAAACTAGTTGCACCATATCTTCAGGACTATCACAGCAGTTGTGTACTTCAGATCAAGCAGGAATGAAATACACAAGAGTGTAGCAAGGCTCTACCTACAATATGAGCATTAAATCTATATTTATAATTAGTTATAAATTTTTCAAAGCAGTAAAATTAGGACTAAAAATTGTCACATGTTAAGTAGCACAAAAGTTTAAAGAAATTCTTCCAGTCCCTCAGGATATCCCCAACAAGTTCACAGCCAATTAATTACTTCATGAAATATAGTTACTGAAATTATATAGCTAAATGAAGCAAAACTTACGCATTTTCAAAGGCCTTCTTTTCCCGATCTAGCTGTTTCATCAGAATCTCTATTTCACCAAGTGCAAACTGCAGCTTTTCAGATTCCTTGGAAAGTAATGCTTTAGTTTTAGCGTGCTCAAGTTTTTCATCCTATAAAGGAGTATGACAGAGTTAACAGAATTACTCAGCTGCTGTAGCCTCAAAACTGAATAGAAGTTCGGCACTTTGAAATATGATGCAGATAGTTCAACCATAGATGATAACCAACATGGGAGGAAACATTCAAAATTTCCTCAGGGTGAATGAAATTGATAGTTAGTTTGCCTGAATAATCAGAGCAGGGACACGACAAGAATACCAATTATCTGCAACAGGACGCAGTTAAGATAACAGAATGGGTAGGTAAGTGGCAGATGGAATTTTATAAAGAGAAGTGTGAGAAGATGCACATTGGCAAAAAGAATAAGGAGATCTCCTAAGGATAAGAGATATAGTGGCACAATTCAAAGAGTGAGCAGGGATAGGAGCATCTGCGGTACATATTCGTAGATCAGTACATATTGAGAATAATTAGCAAAGCATATGGGATCTTGGGCCGAACAGTGATAGAAAGCAAAAGCAGGAAAATTATCTTTTCTTATTTATGTTTATGAAGCACTGATTAAGCTATAATAACAGTATTTTGTCCGTTCAGGGCACCATTTTAAGAAAGATGTGAAGGACCACCAAAAGGATGCACTGAATTTACCAGAATAGTTCCATGTTTGAAGGATCTTAGCTACCAGGTTAAATTGGAGAATTGGTGACTGTTCTCAAAAGTCTTACAATTATGAGGTTTATAAAATGGTTTCAAGAGGAGTTCAGAGGAGTTACAGGGAGGTAGTCACACCTCAGGTACAAGAAAAAAGTAGATGGGTTACAGTCAGGGGATGGAAAGGGAACAGGCAGACAGTGCAGGGATCCCCTGTGGCCGTTCCCCTCAAAAACAAGTATACCGTTTTGGATACTGTTGGGGGGGACGACTTACCAGGGGTAAGCCATGGGGTACAAGTCTCTGGCACAGAGTCTGTCCCTGTTGCTCAGAAGGGAAGGGGGGAGAGGAGGAGAGCATTAGTCATTGGGGACTCCATAGTTAGGGGGACAGATAGGAGATTCTGTGGGAACGAGAGAGACTCGTGGTTAGTGTGTTGCCTCCCAGGTGCCAGGGTCCGTGATGTCTCGGATCGTGTTTTCGGGATTCTTAAGGGGGAGGGGGAGCAGCCCCAAGTTGTGGTCCACATAGGCACTAACGACATAGGTAGGAAAAGGGATGGGGATGTAAGGCAGAAATTCAAGGAGCCAGGGTGGAAGCTTAGAGCTAGAACAAACAGAGTTGTTATCTCTGGTTTGTTACCCGTGCCACGTGCTAGCAAGGCGAGGAATAGGAAGAGAGAGCAGTTGAACACGTGGCTACAGGGATGGTGCAGGAGGGAGGGATTCAGATACCTGGATAATTGGGGCTCATTCTGGGGTAGGTGGGACCTCTACAAATGGGATGGTCTACACCTGAACCAGAGGGGTACCAATATCCTGGGGGAGAAATTTGATAATGCTCTTCGGGAGGGTTTAAACTAATTCAGCAGGGGGATGGGAACCTGAATTGTAGCTCTAGTTTACAGGAGGTTGAGAGTAGTGAGGTCATGAATAAGGTTTCAAGGTCGCAGGAGTGTACCGGCAGGCAGGAAGGTGGTTTGAAGTGTGTCTACTTCAACGCCAGGAGCATCCGGAATAAGGTGGGTGAACTTGCAGCATGGGTTGGTACCTGGGTCTTCGATGTTGTGGCCATTGCGGAGACATGGATACAGTAGGGACAGGAATGGTTGTTGCAGGTTCCGGGGTTTAGATGTTTCAGTAAGATCAGGGAAGGTGGTAAAAGAGGGGGAGGTGTGGCATTGTTAGTCAAGGACAGTATTATGGTGGCAGAAAGGACGTTTGATGAGGACTCATCTACTGAGGTAGTATGGGCTGAGGTTAGAAATAGGAAAGGAGAGGTCACCCTGTTGGGAGTTTTCTATAGGCCTCCGAAAAGTTTCAGAGATGTAGAGGAAAGGATTGCAAAGATGATTCTGGATAGGAACGAAAGTAACAGGGTAGTTGTTATGGGGGACTGTAAGTTTCCAAATATTGACTGGAAACGCTATAGTTCGAGTACTTTAGATGGGTCAGTTTTTGTCCAATGTGTGCAGGAGGGTTTCCTGACACAGTATGTAGATAGGCCAACATGAGGCGAGGCCACATTGGATTTGGTACTGGATAATGAACCAGGCCAGGTGTGAGATTTGGAGGTAGGTGAGCACTTTGGTGATAGTGACCACAATTTGGTTACATTTACTTTAGCGATGGAAAGGGATAGGTATATACCGCAGGGCAAGAGTTATAGCTGGGGGAAAGGCAATTATGAGGCGATTAGGCAAGATTTAGGATGCATAGGATGGAGAAGGAAACTGCAGGGGCTGGGCACAATTGAAATGTGGAGCTTGTTCAAGGAACAGCTACTGCGTGTCCTTGAGAAGTATGTACCTGTCAGGCAGGGAGGAAGTGGTTGAGCAAGGGAACCATGGTTTACTAAAGAAGTTGAATCTCTTGTCAAGAGGAAGAAGGAGGCTTATGTAGAGATGAGGTGTGAAGGCTCCGTTAGGGCGCTTGAGAGTTACAAGTTAGCTAGAAAGGACCTAAAGAGAAAGCTAAGAAGAGCCAGGAGGGAACATGAGAAGTCTTTAGCAGGTAAGATCAAGGAAAACCGTAAAGCTTTCTATAGGTATGTCAGGAATAAAAGAATGACTAGAGTAAGATTAGGGCCAGTCAAGGACAGTAGTGGGAAGTTGTGCGTGGTGCCCGAAGAGATAGGAGAGGCGCTAAATAAATATTTTTCGTCAGTATTCACACAGGAAAAAGACAATGTTGTCGAGGAGAATACTGAGGTACAGGCTATTAGACTAGACGGGATTGAGGTTCATAAAGAGGAGGTGTTAGCAATTCTGGAAAGTGTGAAAATAGATAAGTCCCCTGGGCCGGATGGGATTTATCCTAGGATTCCCTGGGAAGCTATGGAGGAGATTGCAGAGACTTTGGCTTTGATCTTTATGTCGCCGTTGTCTACAGGAATAGTGCCAGAAGACTGGAGAATAGCAAATGTTGTCCCCTTATTCAAGAAGGGGAGTAGAGACAACCCTGGTAATTATAGACCAGTGAGCCTTACTTCGGTTGTGGGTAAAGTGTTGGAAAGGATTATAAGAGACAGGATTTATAATCATCTAGAAAGGAATAATTTGAATAGGGATAGTCAACACGGTTTTGTGAACGGTAGGTCGTGCCTCACAAACCTTATTGAGTTCTTTGAGAAAGTGACCAAACAGGTGGATGAGGGTAAAGCAGTTGATGTGGTGTATATGGATTTCAGTAAAGCGTTTGATAAGGTTCCCCATGGTAGGCTATTGCAGAAAATACAGAGGCATGGGATTGAGGGTGATTTAGCGGTTTGGATCAGAAATTGGCTAACTGTAAGAAGACAGAGGGTGGTGGTTGATGGGAAATGTTCATCCTGGAGTTCAGTAACTAGTGGTGTACCTCAAGGATCTGTTTTGGGGCCACTGCTGTTTGTCATTTTTATAAATGACCTGAGGGCGTAGAAGGATGGGTTAGTAAATTTGCAGATGACACTAAAGTCGGTGGAGTTGTGGATAGTGCGGAAGGATGTTACAGGTTACAGAGGGACATAGATAAGCTGCAGAGCTGGGCTGAGAGGTGGCAAATGGAGTTTAATGCAGAAAAGTGTGAGGTGATTCACCTTGGAAGGAGTAACAGGAATACAGAGTACTGGGCTAATGGTAAGATTCTTGGTGGTGTGGATGAGCAGAGAGATCTCGGTGTCCATGTGCATAGATCACTGAAAGTTGCCACCCAGGTTGATAGCATTGTTAAGAAGGCTTCCGGTGTGTTAGGTTTTATTGGTAGAGGGATTGAGTTTCAGAGCCATGAGGTCATGTTGCAGCTGTACAAAACTCTGGTGCGGCCGCACTTGGAGTATTGCGTACAGTTCTGGTCGCCGCATTATAGGAAGGATGTGGAAGCATTGGAAAGGGTGCAGAGAAGATTTACCAGGATGTTGCCTGGGATGGAGGGAAGGTCTTATGAGGAAAGGCTGAGGGACTTGAGGCTGTTTTCGTTAGAGAGAAGAAGGTTAAGAGGTGACTTAACACAGACATACAAGATGATCAGAGGATTAGATAGGGTGGACAGTGAGAGTCTTTTTCCTCGGATGGTGATGGCTAGCATGAGGGGACATAGCTTTAAATTGAGGGGTGATAGATATAGGACAGATGTCAGAGGTAGGTTCTTTACTCAGAGAGTAATAAGGGCGTGGAATCCCCTGCCTGCAACAGTAGTAGACTCGCCAACTTTAAAGGCATTTAAATGGTCATTGGATAAACATATGAATGATAATGGAATAGTGTATGTTAGATGGGCTTCAGATTGGTTTCACAGGTCGGCACAACATCGAGGGCCAAAGGGCCTGTACTGCGCTGTAATGTTCTATGTTCTATGTTCTAAGACTGCCTTTAATTTAGGATAAAATGATGTGAGTCAGGTGACTTGTACTGAAGACTGCTTGACAGGAGGCCTGAGTTGTGGGGCCATTAAAAGATTAAAGGAAGACCTGTTTGTTCTGGGATGTTGATGGAAGATATTCATACTGGCAAACAATGGCAAAGGCAGCTGTAATGCCAGTGGACAGACTGGCAATCGCCAAATCTCAAAGAAGTATTAAGAGTATCAGGTCGTTAAAGAGTATTTGTTGAGCCATCCCTTTGTGTGCAGGATAGATAGAGTTAGGGTTTAAAGAATAGCTCGTCAGCATTTCTACTTGGATACAATATCCAAAGGATTCATGATACGATAGGGAAGGATGAAAAGGAAATTAGGTTAGGCTTTTCTAAAATGTCACGTAGATGAGTCTGCTAGGATCTGAGAGGAGAGTGGATATTGACAAGACACTGTAACTTACCTCACAGGAATCTGGATGGGAGCTTGTACCCAAATTGGAAAGGACAAATTGGTGAAGATTTAAAACAGGCCTAGAAGATTTGCCTAAATATAGTGAAGTCCAGGTCAATTTTTTTTAACTGGAATCTGATCAATTATATACAAGGGTGTTATAAATGTATGCAGTATTGTAAAAAAATGATTAAATGCTGAAAATTGGAAATATATAGATATCTGTTGTTAATGATTACCTCTATAAGCTTCAAAGTTCTCACCTCCAACTCCTTCACAACGGCTTCAAGCTCCTCTCTGCATACAGTTTTCTCTTCTCGCTGTTTTACCTAAATGTGGAATGCACCGTATTGTGGTAAACAGTTTTGTTTCAAATATATAAAGAATCCTTGATCCTATCATTGGGCTGCTATGTTGATGTCTAGTAATTTTACACTGCAATATAGACAATTCATTAACAATAAATATGATTGTACTGTAACAACAAAGGTTTGACATTATACCTTTTACAAGAGTTTGATGCAGAATATAGAATAGTTGGATGCTGTTAAACCTGCAACCTAACTAAAAAACCAGTAATAAAGCATCACATTTCAGTAGATTATCAACTGTAGTCATCAAATAAGATAAGTTAGGTAAAATACTTAACAATAAGTTGTTAAATATTACAGTACAATTCTGTAAAAAACAGAAAAGAATATGTTACAAAGATCTGCAATGATTTGTAAAGATACAAGTGAAGCTTTAGTTTTTGTTTTTATAACCCAAGCTTCTGTTATTGCTCTGTCTCTCTGTGACACAGATATTGTAAGGTACATCAAAAGTATGGTGGTGACTTAAGAATTCATTCGAGTCCAAGTTGCTGCAGCAATACACATTTTTGTATTCATGTTATAGCCTAGAGCTACGGGTAGTGACAATGGAGGCTCCAATATTCTTTCCAACACTTGGCTGACCAGGAATCTCTCCTGATTTTGCCAGCTGTCATTAGTGTATGTTGGAAGAATTTGTAGGTTAACACTGAACCTGTTTGGCTGCATTATTAACACACCTTCTTTTGCCATCAAGTCCTGAAATTGGACTTGAACTCAAATATTCTGGCTCAGAGGCAGGGTTACAATCCACTGTGCCACGAGACCTCCTATTGAAAAGTACATACGAAACTATTTGCTGTCATAACTACCTTGTTAGAACTACCATCCAACCTGTTAGATACATGAAAAAAAGTCTGCATATTTGAGACACAAAGAAAAATATACACACATGGGATATTGAGAGCAAGAAACAGAAAGATGCACATGTATAGAGAAAAATTTGTCACTGACTTATTTAGCTCTATCTTCAGGGCTTGGACCGAGCAGAGCTACAACTATGTTCAGGTTTTCACCTAGGACTTTGGTTCCTCACACTCCAAATAAACATCTGACAAAGAGTAAGAAAACCACTATGGCACAGGCTCAGACTGAGGTGAAAACTCAGCAGTTTTATTGCAACTCAAAATACTTTATATTAATCTTCCATTATAAATCCCTAATTTACATATTTAGAATACAAACTGACTTTTGCCATGCTGTTGTAATATCCTTCCACCAGTGCTGGCAAACAGGAACAGTATAATTACAACATGACAAGTTTAGATAGGAAGATTTTGATTGAGAAAGGAAATTATCAACAGTTTAAAAGTATGGACAGAAAGCATAACTTTAAAATCGTTGCATTGTAGATTCGAATTTGAGTGTTGCTGAATTAGCAGACACGGTGCTGAAGCTTTTCAATTCATATCCATATCAATTTTCAAAGGGGAAGATAATGTATATTGCATAAGAAGATAGTACGAATATGTTGGCAAGTGGATTCTGATTGAACAAGGTATTGTCATGAGAAAAGCACCAGGGAATAGTTATCCCCAAACATCGGTTTAGTTGAAAAAGACACAATGCTTTGGACAGGAGGACCCTGCATATGAATATATGAACAAATGTATGTATGTATATATTGGAAAGTGCTATCTAAGGAGCTTTGGCGAATTTCTGCAGCGCATCTTGCAGATAGTACACACTGCTGTACTGAACAACGGTGGTGAAAGGAGTGCATGCTTGTGGATATGGTGCCAATCAAGTGGACTGCTTTATGATGAACTGTGTCAAGATTCTTGACTGTTATTAGAGCTGCACCCATCCACGCAAGTGAGGAGCATTCCATCACACTCCTGACTTCTGCCTTGCAGGTGGTGGATAGGCTTTGGGGAGTAAGGAGGTGAGTTACTCATCGCAGTATTTCTAGCCCCTGACTTGATCTTGTAGTCACCGTGTTTATGTAATGAGTGCAGTTGAGCTTCTAATCAATGGTAACCCCAAGTGGTTAGTGATAGTGGGGGAATTCAGTGATAGTAACACCATTGAATGGCAAGGGGCTTTGACTAGATAGTTTCTTATTGGAGATGGTCATTGCCGGGCATTTGTGTGGCATGAATGTTACTTGCCACTTGTCAGTCCAAGCTCAGATATTATCTAGAGTTTGCTACATTTGTAAATTGACTGCTTCAGTATGAGGAGTCACGAATGGTGCTGAACATCGTGCAATCATCGGCAGACATCCCTTCTTCTGACCTTATGATGGAGGGAAAGTCATTGATGAGCAGCTGAAGATGGTTGGGCCTAGGATACTATTCTGAGGAACTCCTGCAGAGATGTCCTGGAGCTGAGATCACTAACCTC